ATGAAGCCTCAGCAGAAATAGATTTTCATTTCAATATCAAAAGGAATCAAAGATTGAACAGGTTCAAAAATCACTACAAACTTCTGGATGACGCTCATAATCTCTGTTCTGTGGCTGTTGTTTTTCAGCTGCGATATTGCTCCACTTCAATCTTAATCATACAAAAAAAAAATTTCCTTAGCAACTTCTGGAGTGATAGTAAACTGGTCGAAACCATCATAAAATGTGTTATTGGTCAATCATGGTTGGACTTTGGTAACATGACAATCTCCTGTCGAACTCTCTTAGTCACTTCGGTAGTACAATATCGTGGAATTTCATAATAAGCAGACTTTATCCATACATCATTGTTTGACACATTGACGACCGCTTGACACACCATGTGTGTCAAGCAATGACTATCAAGTGGGACCGCTTGACACACATGGTGTGTCAAGGCTTGAACTCGGTTAAAATGACGAACTATCGTGGTACAAACTCATTTCAAGAGCTTTCTTTTGCTTTGAAACTAGAAATGACCTCTATCTTCGTCAGCCTTTTAAAGCTAACTTAGGTATACTAAAGATAAGATTAAACTTGATTTTGTCTGAAAAATGCTTGATCTGTGGAAAGTCTTGGTCCCAAGAGGCAGACAACTGGAAATTGGCGCTGTCGTCAACGCCTTAAATTGAAAAAGTATCCCTGAAAGTTTTTTTTTATTTGGAAGAAGGGTGTGATGGTTCACAAGTAAGAGGACTGATGGAGATCAATTTGAAAGTTAATGAAGAAATTTCGATGATTCGGTAGATGAGATTATCGGGAATGCAAAGGTAGAGACCGAAGCAGTTCAAAAGCGCAATGAAGGCGATCGCAGGAGAATGCCTGGAGGTTCGATCAATGGCATCGCTTTGCTAAGTTTGAAGGCACCATCCACCCAAAATGGGGTCCATGAGATTTCGATGTCTAACACTTACAGGTCCCTCAACTGTACAGGGTCGGAGGAAAGTCTTTGAACATGGTAATTTCGTCTAGTCACGAAGTTAAGCAAGATGACTATTACTCATCAGTTTACTTCATATTAATACCTTCACATTTCAAAGATTCCTCCTTTGGCGCCAACACAGGCTCGGAGACACTTGGAAAAGCTGTCTACAGTGGCACGGAGACAC